GATCTTCTTTGAACCTGTCAACTCATTCTCTCCCTCAGGACCTGTTTCTTCTGACTAGCTCATCTTTTTCCCAGATATCTGCATGGCTCCCTCCCTCACCATTCCTTCTGGTATTTCCTCAGATGCCACCTTCCCAGGGAGACCTTCCTTGACTACACTGTTTAAAGTTGGAAATCTCTTCCCTGCACACCCACACCCATACATGCTCTCTTTCTCCCTTCCTGCCAGTAGGCCATTTCCTCTCTACTATCGTGCTAACTACTTTGTACCCTTAGATATTGTCACAATAATATTATATCCTAAATGATTCATTATTTCCTTGTAAGAATAAGGAAATTGCAGCACAGAGAAAGTCTTCAACGTGGTGACTGCGTTGAATAGTCTCGTGTACGTCTTAATTCCCAGAGCAGCCCCTGCCTCTCACTAAGAAAGCTTGCCTGTCTCTAAATCATTGTTTTCCTAGTAGCTGGCCTCGGTATCTTCCTCCCTTTCAAAGTGTTTTCTTGTGTAAAACAGAAACCTGACAAATCATCCTCTTGTTACAGGTTTTTCATGTGAAATGAAAGTAGAGGATGTTCATTTGAAAAAAAGAATCCCCATCTCTGTTCAGTGCCCAAACTGAATAGTATAAAAGGCAGCTGGCTTTAGCCTCCTTCAGTATGTTACAGTCATCCTCTCTCCAAGTATTTTTTTGCACATAGATTTTAATTTGCTGTCACTAATTAAATCTGGTCATCTTTGTTTTCTTCTTTTAAAAATAAGTTGGGTGTACACTATCACTGAGATAAAGATGTGGTTTGAATATACTGCTTGTTTAATTGAGGGTAATTAAGTTCATAAATCTGGAGCTAATGAATTAGAAAACATTTAATTACATATTTGGGGTGGGATACAGCCAAAATATGAAGAAGCAGTGTCCTTTTTTTTTGTTAAGACAGGGTCTTACTCTGTTCCCCTGGATCAAGTGTCAAGGGGCGTCATCCTAGCTAACAACAACCTTAAACTCTTGGGCTCAAGTAATCCTCTTGCCTCAGCTTCCCAAGTACCTAGGACTACAGGTACTCACTACAGCATCTGGCTAGTATTTTTTTTTTTCCGTTTTTAGTAGAGAAGGGGTCTCACTCTTTCTCAGGCTGGTCTTGAACCGCTAAGGTCAAGAGATCCACCCACCCTGGCCTCCCAGAATGCTAGAATTATAGGTGTGAGCCAGAGAGCCACCACACCCAGCTTTTTTTTTTTTCAGACAGAGTCTCAAAAGGTAGAGTGCAGTGGCATCATCATAGCTCATGTAAAACCTCAAACTCTTGGGCTCAAGTGATCCTCCTGCCTCAGCCTCCTGAGTAGCTGGGACTACAGGAATGCAGCACCATCCCAGCCAACTTTTTCTATTTTTGGCAGAGGTGGGGTCTCATTCTTGCTCAGACTGCTGACCTCAAACAGCCTCCTGGAGTGCTAAGATTATAGGCATGAACCACAGCACTAGGCCAAGAAGCAGAATTCTTTATTAGAATGAGCTTTGGGGTTCAAAACCCTGGATCTGACAATTATCAGCTTTAATACCTTGGGTAGCTTATTTATTTTCTTGTTAGCTTCAGTTTCTTCATCTGTAAACTAGATAGGATATCATCTTAGTGCAGTGCTGTCCAGTAGAACTTCATGCAAAGATAGAAATGTTCCCATTCTGTACTGGTAGCCACTAGCCCTGGGTGAATGTTGAGTACTTGAAATATGGCTAGTGCAACTGAGGAATTGAAATTTTAATTTAATTTAATTAATATTTAAGTTTACATTGCCATATATGACTACTAGCTAGTGGACTGGACAGATCTAACCCGTAAATATTGGTTGGAGAAAAGTATGTACATATAGTGCCTAACTTAATACCAGAAAGTGCTGGTTGCTGTCGTATTTATTTAGTATTATTCTCACTCTCTGAAAAATATATAGTAAAATTAACTAATGCCAACTAACACATTGACTTTCTGAGGTTTTCTGGGAACTCTTTCTCATTTGCTTAATTATGTATTCTCTGTGTAGCTTTGTTATGATAGCCACTTTTCTAAGAAACCAAGCTGCAATCGTTCTAGTTTTTGGAATTCTAAAGACTAGAAATTAGTCATTAATTAATGCCATTTTTTGCAGGTTTACAGGAGGATCCACAAAGCCCACCTCCTCTCCCTGCTGAAAAACCCATTGGAAACACTCACACTGTGGTATCTGGAAAACTCAGTAATGTTGACAGAACTAGAAACTTGGTAAGGAGTCATTATAAGTTGTGTTAGAAGACTGAGCTACACAGTAATTTTAAATTCTTAGCTGATATCTAACTTATTTTACTCCAGGTTGGATTAAAAAAAAAAACCTTTATTAGAAACCATGTACTTATTTACTGTGAAAATATTGTAATTCTCTAAAGGAATTTCTTAGGCATAGATTTGAGTTTTAGGACCTAAAAAATTTACAATATTTGAAAAGTTCTTGTAGAGAGATTAGTCCAATTCATTGTTCTTCATTATAAAATAATTTATCCTATGCCGATGTAATGACATTGCCTTTTTTTTTTTTTTTTTTTTTGGCCGGGGCTGGGTTTGAACCTGCCACCTCTGGCATATGGGGCCGGCACCCTACCCTTTTGAGCCACAGGCACCTCCCCGACATTGCCTTTTAAATGACACTAATAATGAGGGGGTTATTAAAAATGTCTAAAAAACTGTAAGTATTTGTGGGAATAAATGTAGTCAGATTGTCAGTTTTTATTTAAAATACCCAATAAGTGACAGACTTTTTAAGGTAATTACCATAAGAATTTTTTAATCTGAAATTTAAGAAAAATGTTATTTTATAAATTTTAAAATATAGCATCTTACTATGCACTTGTTAAGATGATAGTCAGGTTTGGTGCCTATGGCTCAAGTGGCTAAGGTGCCAGCCACATACACCTAAGGTGGAGGGTTCGAATCCAGCCCAGGCCCGCCAAAAACAACAATGACGGCTGCAACAAAAAATAGCCGGGTGTTGTGGTGGGCACCTGTGTCCCAGCTACTTGGGAGGCTGAGGCAGGAGACTTGCTTGAGCCCAGGAGTTGGAGGTTGCTGTGAGCTGTGATGTCACAGCACTCTACCCAGGGGGACAGCTTGAGGTTGTCTCAAAAAAAAAGATGATAGTCAAAGAATTTTTTGTTTATATGATTTTTTATTTCAACCTCAGTACTATTCTCTCATATATTTTTTTTAACTTTCCATATGGTAAATGATCTTTTAGGCTTATTTTAACAGAAATCAATTCTTAAAGTCTTTGAACCAAATTTTCAGTTCAAATCTTGTAATAGTTTTATATTGTACACTACCTATGCTTATACAGGCAAACTCACTTAATCATCTAGTGAAGAAAAATTTCTTTGAAGGAGACATTAAATTAAATTAGCCAGTATCAAATTAATGAGATTTTCCTGAAGAATGAGTTAACATTTAGTGATCATTTGGATTTTCAAAGTACTTAGTAATAAATTTGTATCAAAACTAGGTCAAGAAGGCCAGGTGTGATTTGCTCACGCCTGTAATCCTAGTACTCTGGGAGGCCAAGGCTGGTGGATCACCTGAGCCCACAGGTTTGAGACCAGCCTGAGCCAGAGCAAGACCTCGTCTCTAAAAATAGCCAGGCGTTGTGGCAGGTATCTGTATTCTCAGCTACTTGGGAGGCTGAGGCAAGAAAGTCACTTGAGCCCAAGAGTCTGAGGTTACTGTGAACTATGATGCCACAGCACTCTACCCAGGGCAACAAAGTGAGACTCTGTCTCAAAAAAAAAAAAAAAAAAACTAAAACAAAACTGGATCAAGAAAGCCCAAAGGAAATATGATAGTAGGGCCCTTAGCATCCCATTGTTGAACAGGAAAATCCCAAATTTCCGTAGAGGAAAGGTTGTTTGAGGAGACTACTGGCTTCTCCTCTGTTTTATAAAAGGAGTGAGAGAGTGATGAGTAAGTAAACATACCATTTTCTAAGTGATGAGATGGACCTTGTGAACTATAAAGCTCTATTGAAATGTTAGGTATTATTATGTTTAATGTGAATCAGTCCATAAGGAACTCCCATATTTTAGAAAAATAAGAAAAAGAAATTAAAATAAACCATCTGGAAGATACTGTATTTATCATTGTGTTGGTATCTCACATGGACAACATGGGGGAAATCCTGTCTGCACTGTTTACAGAGGGAGTCAGAGCATTCTGTACTGAACTGAAATAAATGCATACTATTAATAGCACACTGAGTCTGAAGGAAAAAGGGGCGAGGAAACAGACCACAGGTTAAATGACTGCCCGAAGTCACACGTGTAGTTTTTTTGGGTCCTAAAACTCAAATCTGTGCCTAAGAAACTCCTTTTGAGAATTATCATTAATGAATTTTAGACCAGAATTCATAAAGACTAAAGATGTGGATGGACACTGCTCCAGTGTAGTGACTATGGGGATAGGAATGATCTTTGCAAATTGACTCCTGGCCAACGCCCAGGACAAAAACCCTTTACTATGTCTCCTGCCATGAGTGGTAGGGAACTTTCTCAGGATAAGACGGCTGCAGTTATCAGACCTCACTCTCTTCATTTAAGTGATGAGGAACCCCAGTGTGAAAAAATACTAGGAACCATTCTGTCGGTGGGAGCAAACACTTCTGTGTGCCCTGTCCCCCCAACATAAGGCTTCCAAGGCATACCCAGGAGACTGTCAAGCTGTAGGGGAGGAGAGTCCAGGGCTGCTGCACAGTATGCCGAAGGAATTAAAGATAGAGTGTAGAAGCTCCCCACGAGAACACACACGCTCAAGTGACTTTCTTGCCTCAGCCTCCCAAGTAGCTGAGAATACAGATACCTGCCATGTGAAGAAAGAAGCTGATTCTGAATTCTGGACGTAAGAAGTGGTACAAGGTATTGGAGAAAGAAAAGAAGAAACATCTGTAGGGGTTGCTCACAGGCGTTTATTCAGACAGACAAGAGTGTGTCTTGGGGGAAATACGGCAAAAAACTGGGGCATTATTTTGAAATTAGAATAGGCTTCCAGTGCACATAAATGAAAAGATGGAATCTGCAGAGACAGTACAAGTAGGAAGACCAGCCTTTCCAGGAACTAAAATGTTTATCCAAACACATCAAAAGCCAAAGTTCAGGGATGTCAGAGCTAGAGAAAAACTAGTGAAAAGCAGATTCAACGAGGCTTCAAGTTATGAGAGGAGGACTGAAGAGGAGGAAACCCCTAATCAATGATCTTTCAAAGTCTGTCCACAGAATCCGGGCACAAACCCAGACGTGAGCAAACACTGAAACAGTTTGTGCAGGAGCTTTTCTCAGTATTTGGATTCTGTCAGACATGGCAGTGCCTTTCAAGATGTGCCTAACACCCCTTAGGAATTGGCATATACTATTTTTTTTTCTGATTTAAAATTTCCACATTATAGACAATTGAGAAATTAAAAAAGATTTCCCATAAAAATACCACAACCCAGGGAAAACTGCAACTAATATTTAATACAAAATTTGGATCATATGCTATATATTTTATACAGTACATCATCTGTACCTTTTCACGTCAAATTTATACATCTATGTTTTTTAAATTGTTTCTTAATTATTAAGGTATTCAACAACTATAGTTCTAAGAAAAATAAGTTTCTCTTTATCCGCTAGAGTTTGTTTATTTTAATTTTAAAGGTGGCCAAGGAAACGAGTGCATTTTAAAAGTATTATAGCACTATTTGTCAGGAAGAAATACAGGCAGCAGTATATTTATAAGGCATGGATTATATTCTGGAATATTACAGAGTTTATGAGCTGGTGACTTACCTCACTACATTAACTGAACTCATTAGTGAAGCCAAGTTTTAAGGGCAAGCCTAATTTATTTTTAAAAATGAGATTTTAGAAGATTGAAACATGCTTAAATCATCTCATTTATTGGCAATTAATCATTTGGTATTTAAGGGAAAGCTGTACGTATTCAATATAAATTAAAAATCATGAAAGTGGGCAGTGCCCGTAGCTCAGTGAGTAGGGCGCCAGCCACATACATTGAGACTGGCAGGTTTGAGCCCAGCCTGGGCCTGCTGAACAACAATGACAACTGGAACCAAAAAAAAAGAGCCAGGCATTGCAGCAGGCCCCTGAAGTCCCAGCTACCTGGGAGGCTGAGGCAAGAGAATCACTTAAGCACAAGAGTTTAAGGTTGCTGTGAGCTGTGATGCTACAGCACTCTACCAAAGGGTGACATAGTGAGACTCTGTCTCAAAAAAAAAAAAAAATTAAAAGTAAAAACTAAAAATCACGACAGTGAGTTTTAGCTTGTTTATAACATAAGAAGGAGTAAACCAGTCTGAATTAGACCAGAGACTCCCAGGCTATTATAAAACTTCCTTTACCAAAAATAAGGCAGTGTGATTTTAAAGAACTAGCATTTTTATGCCCTTATGAGGTCTTGGTGAAATATTATTTCCTGGGTGTCAGTGTTGAAAACTTAGAAAATAGAAAAGGTTTAAAAAAAAATCAGAATTAGAAGAATTTGGTGAGGACTTGCCCCCACTCTCCCTAAGAAAAACAACTATATTTTTCGCTTTGAGATCCTTTAACTTCTCACTCAACAGAAGATCTGAACATATTTTCCATGTGTTATACTCATTTCCTAGTCTTTGGGCTGTCACACATACAGAAAACCTACTTAAACAACGTAGTTTGAATCCTTTCCCTACAGAAATCTTCCCATAATTCCACACTTCCAATTTTTCTCATCTACTGATGGAATAAAACATTCCAGCTCCACCTGTGTTTTATTTTTCACATTATTCTCCTTTACTCTTTACCGCCTTGCTACAAAACTCTTCTTACCCCATCCCCACGCCTTTACTAGAGTGGCATAAGCACTCTTCTTTCTTGGACCTTTTGATCGCTCCTCACCTGCCTTCCCTTCAGGCCATTCCTTAAACTTTCATGTTCCCACCTCCTCGTAGATCAAAACCCACTGAAAAATGTTGAAACCATCCAGTGATCAGATAAGAACTGCCCGTTTAAAGGGAAACAAACTAATAGGCACCTCATTTTTTATGTGTTTCAACTTAGAAGTACTACATTTCTTACATGTGATCATGGGGTAAATAAAGACTATATATTTTGGCTCAGCGCCTGTGGCTCAAGTGGCTAAGGCGCCAGCCACATACACCTAAGGTGGCGGGTTCAAATCCAGCCCAGGCCCGTCAAAACAACAATGACAGCTGCAACCAAAAAATAGCTGGGCGTTGTGGCGGGCACCTGTGGTCCCAGCTACTTGGGAGGCTGAGGCAGGAGACTGGCTTGAGCCCAGGAGATGGAGGTTGCTGTGAGCTGTGATACTGCAGCACTCTACCCAGAGGGATAACTTGAGACTCTGTCCTAATAAAAAAGACTATATATTTTTTTAATTCCCTTCAGTGCCTGGTTAAATTGTTACCATGCTGACTGTCATGATTTAAACATCATCCCTAATGTCTCATGAGTCTACTAGGTGTATAGCCTGTGGTCTACAACGGGAGATCCTTGAGTTTCTTCCTCGCAGTGTTTCCTTTTTTTTTTTTGGCCACGGCTGGGTTTGAACCCCTCACCTCTGGCATATGGGGCCGGCACCCTACTCCATAGGCGCCACCCCCTCTCAGTGTTTTCACTTGTATTAGGACACAGATAATTTGTGTAGGAGTGAGTTAATATTATTAAGACTGAAAATGTTAAGCTACTTTCTATAACTCCAGTACATTTACATTTATAGACCCCTCCAAAAAGTCGTCCAGAATTTCCTTGACAAGCTCTTGTTTCAGATTAACTAACAAAAGCATTCTCTAATACTTGCAGGAATCCACCCACGCTGGTCATGTAGGGAGTGTTATGCGAGGACCTCCAAGGCTGCCACCAAGGTAAGTAAGTGTGTGAAAAGTTAGAGAAAAACTAACTCAAAGACCCAGAATTCTTTTCTGTCAGCAAAACTAAGTGTTGTTGGCTCTAGATCTTCTTTTAGAGATACAATAATGTCACAAATTCAGCCTGGCCACTGGCCCACAATTTGCTTCTGACAGTAGGCTGTGAGAATCTCTGCTCCTATTTTAACACAGTCTAAAAACTGATAGCGCAAAAATAAATAAATAAAAGCTAGTAGAGCACAAACATGGATCTATATTACTTTTCCTGAAACAAATGAGTAAGACTCCTTCCCGAACTTAAAACAACTCCACCCTCACAGCAAAGAGAGACAAGCCTCCTGGTTTTGGCGTTTCCCAGAGAGATAGGCTTTGTGAGCTCAGAAGTGACCTACCTCCCGAGTTTCCAGGGTATTAGAACAAAAGGCTATCATGGTAGCAGAAGACATCACGATGTTAAAAACTATTTCTTTTGTCAGGATTAAAGTAAGGCTTTGAAAGTAACAGTTGTCTTATCTCATTTTCAGAACTGGCTTTGTTGATATTAATTTAAATCGGTGTTCTAATAGGAATTCCTATAACATGAATATTGGGGGATTTTGATGTTTCTTTTCTAATCATGTGCAAGACCCCTGCACATACACCTAACATCTCATTATAAGCTTTCATCTCAGACGTTAGTAGAAAGTGCTTAGCTCCCTGAAATAGTCATGGTATATTTAAGAGCAAATGGGGCCTTAGAGAGCTCATGATAGTAAATGCTTGTTTGTCTTGAACTAATGAATCTCTAGTGCAAGATAAGAGGAAGCTGGAACATCATGGCATTTCCTCTAATAGCACAGCATTTAATGCAGGGGTCGTTTGCTCTAAAATAGCATACCTTGCATGTTTTAAATTGTGTTACTGGAAGGTGCGTGTCTGTGTGTTTGTGTCTGTGCCTTTCTGTAAGAGGACAGAACAGAATCTAATACTGAGCAGAATGCTGACTCATGGCTACCACATTGACTTTCAGACCTGTAAATGGAAAAACCATTCCAGCTCAACAGCCTTCTCCCAAGGTGCCCCCTGGGAGACCACCTCCCCCCAGAATTTCTGCAACCAGAACATCAAATAAAAAACTGCCTTTTAATCGGTCCTCATCTGACATGGATCTTCAGAAAAAAAAAGGTCACTCAGCATCTGGACTCTCAAAAGCCAAGAGCCAAGTCTTTAAAAATCAAGATCCGGTGCTACCCCCTCGCCCCAAACCTGGACACCCTCTGTACAGCAAATACATGGTAAATTTGGGTTGTAAAAATGTTTGTGGTCAAGAGACTTGTCCTAAGGTATATATAAGATTCCTTAGAAAAAGATGGTGAAACAATTGTCCCTTGTCCCTAAGAGTGCTTTAGATAAGTAGGCCAAAATAAAGCCTAGATCTTTAAATAGTTGAGCTTTATTATTGGGAGGAATGTAAGGAAAGAGGAAGCAAGTCAGGCAAGGATTATGACTTGCTGTCTGTCTTGACCAAAAAGGAACTCTGAAAAATCTGACCTAGAAGGTTATGCTGATAGGAGTAACTCTGACAGATTACATCTTTGAATATATATCTCATCTATATTTTGATATGGTTTAGTTTATACCTTCTTTTCATGTATGTATGTATGTATGTATTTATTTATTTATTTTTGAGACATAGTCTTACTCTGTTGCCCTGAGTAGAGTGCTGTCACAGCATAGCTCACAGCAACCTCAAACTCCTGGGTTCAAGTGATCCTCCTGCCTCAGCCTCCCGAGTAGCTGGGACTATAGGCATGCAGCACAATGCCCAGCCAACCTTTTCTATTTTTGGCGGAGGTGGGGTCTCAATCTTACTCAGGTTTATCTAGAACTACTAACCTATAGCAATCTTCTCACTTCAGCCTCCCAGAGTGCTAGGATTATAGATATGAGCCTGACCTCTTTTTTTAATTTTCAATTATTATGAGTATATAATAGTTATATACATTTATAGGGAACATGTGATGTTTTGATACAGTGTCTAATGATCAAATCACAGTTTATATCTCATAGATACTTTGCACACTGAATAAAATTTAAAATGAAGCAGAAAGAAAGTTCTTATTCAAATGGGTGGTTATTCCCTCATTTTCTCCTTGTGTAGACCTAATCATAATGGTCCATTTAATATTTACCAGTTAGAAGTTTGCGTCAATAATCAAGATAGTTAAGGTATTAATTTTTTTCTCTTTGAATGTTTTTCTCATCAAATGACCTAAACCTTTGTCTCTATTTCCCACAGTTTAGAAACAAAGTTGATCTGCTCTCTTCTTTGGTCAGGTTAACCTGAACAAATCTAAAACAAAAAAAGCGATAAGGAAATCAGGACTGCCTGCACTTTTTAAACAATGGTATGACAGAGCACCTCCTGATAAGAACAACAGTTAGTAATTTTATTTTGTTTTCATGCTTCCATCATTGAGCTAGAAGTGTTTTTTTTTTTTTAAAGCCATTCAGAGTTTTCAAAAAATCCTCCTTAGAGAAGGGTAAAGGCAGATAAGAAGGAAGTTGTATATTTATATTCATTTAAACTGATGAAATTCTAATTGCTGAAACCCATGGGTGTTCTTTAGGAGCAGTTACATGATAAATAACAACAGTGGCTGCCGTGTATTGAGTATTAATTATGAGCCAGGTATTGTTCAAAGCAGTTTACATATAGTAAATAACTCATGTATTCCTCATACCTACCTCCTGAGGCAGATATGATTGTTATCACCATTATACAGATGCGGAAAATAAGACAGAGATACGGAGTAACTTGTCCAAGGTCACAATGCTAGTTAATGTTTGGGATCAAGATGTGAACACAGGTCTCCTGGCTGTGACCCCTGGCTTCTAATCATTATACCAAATGATGAAAATAATATCACTAGTTGTAGTCTCTCCATGGTTTAATCATTCTATGTTAAGGGGGAACCAGATTATGCTTAAGGTGCTTAGAATACTTGTATGATGTCAAAGCATTTTAAAAACTGAAAGAAATTAATACCTTCAAAATGGTGGTATATTTAGCGTGGTATGTCTCATTAAACAATTCCTTAAGTCTCCCATTTTTTCCACTTTTTCCTTCCCATTAAATTGCAAGCCAGGAATTTGGGTACACTGGGGGCTTTGAGACTCTGACAAGAGATTCTGGAAAGCGGCACCACCCAGTCCAGCCTTTCAGGGCCACACCCTTGCACTTGGCATCTTTGCTTCTGGGTGATCCAAGGGCCCAGGCAGTCTCCCTCCCATGTTAGAAGCCAGCTTGTGTGCTTGCATTTCCTCGGTGTACAGACCCTCTCACCTGCACTCATCAGCTAAAATTCACCAGAGCAGGGAACAGAGGCCCCTGGTCGAAGTGAGTTTCAGATGTAAAATCCATTCTGAGATCAGACAGAGCTGAGTGGGCCAGGAAGTTTCTGAGGTCAGGCTGTGAAATAGCTTTAAGTAGACACTTGGTATCAGAGAGACTGGATGGTGAGATTCAAGGTAAATGGAAGCAGTCAGGGAGTAGTAGATGGAGGGCTCTGATTACCAAAGAGCCTTCAGAAGGCAACCACACTGAGAGCCCTGAATGAAAGACTTCAGTGTGTCATCAGCCCTGAGGTCAGGTACTAGTATCCGTCCTTCAGACCCCCAGGGTTCTTGGTGGACCTTGCCCTGTAGAATGGAACTTCCTGGTTGATGTTGTTAAAGGAAACTTTAGGCCACATTCGGTGCTGGTAGTTTTTTGGGCTCATCTCCAACTCCCAGGAGTTTTTAGTATCCAGAAGAAATGGCAGGCCTCACTGGATCTAGAGCAGTAAGAAGCCAGAAAAGAGTTTAACAGCTGGAGAAACTGCCCTGTAGGGACACACACCAAATCCTCAATGATTGGCAATTTAGGAGGAGGTGATTTGATTGTGAATAATCCTTTTATTGGTTTACATTTAAGCTGTCTGTGCCTCATGGAATTGCCAAGGAAGATATTGTCTCACAAAACCCCGGAGATCTCTCTTGTAAGGTAAAAAAGAGCTCTGTCTTTACAGACTAATGTAGAAAATCGCTGGCCTCTGTCACTGCTATTACACATTATTAAATGCTTTATGCTCCAAATATTAAAATGTGAAAGAAGTAATAATGTTTTATTAAATAATAATTGCTTCAGAGAGTGGTATTGTATCTTACAGCGTGGGGATGTACTTGTGATGCTGAAGCAGGCAGAAAATAATTACTTGGAATGCCAAAAGGGAGAAGATACTGGCAGAGTTCACCTGTCTCAGATGACGATTATTACTCCACTCGATGAACATCTTAGGAGCCGACCAAACGTAAGGAATGAATGTTGTACAGCCCTCGTATCACATATGGTAGCACATTTCATACAACTATTAATTATATCCATCCTCAGGTTTTTATTAGCACATTTATTTCAACCAGGGTAAAAATTACATTGGTATGTTATTCCAGTTTTAAATAAGTTACTTTTAAGAGATGTGCCACTGCCCTACTAATGACTTTGATACCCAGAGCAGTGTGTGTCGTGCCATCTTCATCTTGTACTGACTTGAAGCAACTAGAACACTCAGTCGTTTATTTTCAACTGTGAGAGCTGCTTGTTTTTCAAAGATAAAACATGTTTACCAAAGTGCCAGAGATTAGCTTTCTAGCAGAATGGATGTCTGACATTAAAAATCACACCCCACCCCCTGCCCTTTTTTCTGAGACAAGAGTCTCACTCTGTTGCCCAGGGTAGAGTGCCATGGTGTCAGCCTAGCTAGCAAAACCTCAGACTCCTGTCCGAGTTCAGGAGATCCTCCTGTCTCAGCCTTCTAAGTAGCTAGGACGACAGGCACCTGCTACAATGCCCGGCTAATTTTTTCTATTTTTAGGAGGGACAGAGTCTCACTCTTACTCAGGCTGGTCTTGAAATCCTGAGTTCAAGCGTTCCACCCTTCTTGGCCTCCCAGAGTGCTGGGATTATAACCCTGAGCCACCATACCCAAACAAAAAAAAAAAGCATTCCCCCTTTAAGATTTAAGCTTAATTTTTTTTTAATTTAAGCTTAATGTTAACTTCATTTCTCTGATTGTAGCTCAGAAAACAATGAAATGTAACCCAGCAACCTCAAGTTACAATTTAAGCCAAACAAATTTGTGGAACCTGAGACTCAACAGTGATTATGGAAGGTCATTTGTTTTGTGAGAAAAATGCTGTTGAGCTGGTGTGGTGGCTCCTGCCTGTAATCTCAGCTTGCACAGCTGAGGTGGCAGGATTGCTTGAGGCCAGGAGTTTGAGACCAGCCTGGGTCATATAGCAAAACACCGTCTCAAAAAAAAAATTTTGAACGAGAAAGAAAAAAGAAAACTGCTGTGGGGGTATATTTCTAAAAGTGCATTTTAAATTACCCAGTTAAATTTTTGCTATCTGGGCTTGGCGCCTGTGGCTCAAGTGGCTAAGGCGCCAGCCACATACACCTAAGGTGGCAAGTTCGAATCCCCAGCCCGGGCCCGCCAAAGAACAATGATGGCTGCAACCAAAAAATGGCCAGGCGTTGTGGCGGGCGCCTGTGGTCCCAGCTACTTGGGAGGCTGAGGCAGGAGACTCGCTTGAGCCCAGGAGTTGGAGGTTGCTGTGAGTGTGATGCCATGGCACTCTACCCAGGGGGATAGCTTGAGGCTCCAAAAAAAAAAAAAATTTCGCTATCTGTTAGTTAATACGGCAAATAGAAAAATATCCATCAATTACTCAAGCCAAGTAAAAGTATTTGGTTTGCCTTTTATCTTAGTTTTTATAATCTAGTCCATGTTTTTTTCTTCTTAGAAAGCAGTTAATCTTTTGAAGTTTGGTAAGAAACTATAAGTTTCTATTTTGGAGAGCAACGAAGATAGATGTTAAGCTAGTTGCAGCTGGCATGTGAAAATTCTAATTTTAGTTCACACAGGGACGGTTCTTCCATGACTCATCTTCTCTGTGTTTTGATGTAACATTTTCTGTCATAGCTGTCCTTCCCTCTTTCAGACACACTGGTAGTAACAGTGGGAGTTACACTGCCCAAAATCTGTCTTTTGTGAAAAATAGAAGTCAAAAATTTGGAAGTTATTCTTTTATAATGGTCCAGAACTTTTTTCTACTTTAAACATCACCTTCTCATCTTGTACTGTAGATGTGCAGAAAGTTGGCCTCTGCTGGCCAACTATCGGTGATAATGAAATGAATCCGCCTTTATGCTTCTGGGTTCATGGCGATCATTACATTTTTTTAGAAAAATAAAATTTGCCTAGTTGAAAGCCTAATTTTAAGGTAAATATCTTTGAAAATGTGTTATTCTTTCCCCTAACTTGGTAAACAGAAAATACTAAACATAAACTAGTTGTAGTTGAATCTGTCAGATAATGGGAAGAGTAAGAGAGGTTGTTGCCTAGAGTGCGGCTGACAGCCCCGACCCTGGGTTTCAGTTCCCTTTCCACCACCTTAGGTAGGGTGGGATGGGGGTTGAGATTAAATCTTGCTCTGTTGCCTGGGTAAAGTGCAGTGGCACAATCATAGCTCACAGCAACCTCAACCTGCTGGGCTCAAGGGCTTCTCCTTCCACAGCCTCCTGAGTTGCTAGGACTACAGCTGCCCACCGTCATGCGTGGGTAATTTTTCTATTTTTGATAGAGATAGTCTTGCGCTTGCTAGGCTGGTCTCCAACTCTTGGCCTCAAGTAATGCTCCCTCCTTTGCCCCCCAGAGTACTAGGACTGTAGGCATGAGCCACTGTGCTCCATCTAAACTTCATGTTTTAATGTGTAAAATAAGTATAACTCCTCACAAAGTTGACTTTAGAGCTGATGTACCCTATGATTCCATTTGTGTAGAAGTCCAGAATAGGTACGTCCGTAGAGACACAAGGTAGATTAGTGGTTGCCTGGGACTGAGAGGAGAGCAAATGAGGAGTAAGCGGCTCTTAAAGGATAGGAATTTCTTTTGGGTACAATAAAAATGTTCTACACTTAGATTGTGGTGATTGTACAATTCTGTGAATATACGTAAACCATATACACTTTAAATGGGTGAATTTTTTTACGTGTAAATTGTATCTAAAGGATTTTAACAAATTAAATGAGTTAGTGCATATAACACAGTGAGCAGCACACAGCAAATGAACAATAAGTATTAGCTCTTCTTACTGTTGCAAAACCATTTGTGTTAGGGCGGCACCTGTGACTCAGTGAGTAGAGACCAGCCTCATATACCAAGAGTGGCAGGTTCAAACCCAGCCCCGGCCAAACTGCAACAAAAAAATAGCCAGGCGTTGGCATTGGGTGGGCTCCTGTAGTCCCAGCTACTCGGGAGGCTGAGGCAAGAGTATCGCCTACACCCAAGAGTTGGAGGTTGCTGTGAGCTGTGACACTGTAGCACTCTACCAAGGGTAACAAAGTGAGACTCTGTCTCTAAAAAATAATAATAATAAAAATTAAAAAAAAACTATTTGTGTTGGCAATTGTAATCACATCAGAAAAGATTTTTTAACTATATTAGATTTACCTACTAGATATGTACCTTAAGGGTGTGATTTGAATTATACACTGACTCTCTGGGTAATCCTATCCAACCTGTTCCTCTTTGTTGTTGTTGCTGTTGTTGTTTTGAGACATAGTCTCACTCTTTTGCCCCAGGGAGAGTGCCATGGAGTCATCATAGCTCATAGTAACCTCAGACTCCTGGGCTCAGGCAATCCTCCTGCCTCACCCTTCCAAAGTAGCTTGATACTACAGGCACCTGCCACAAAACCCTGCTAATTGTTCTATTTTTAGTTAGGGATGGGAGTCTCACTCTTGCTCAGGCTGATCTTGAACTCCTGGCCTCCCACTCCACTTCCCAAAGTGCTAGGATCACATGCGTGAGCCGCTGCACCCAGTCTAGCCTGTTCCTCTTGCACTTTACCTGCTGATTCAGATTCATGAGCAGCGTTGCCAAGGATATCCGTACATTGAAGGCAGAGAAGGGAAACTAACTGGGAGGCATACATCGTCATCCTCTCCCTCCCAGGTTTGGTTATGTTTAGATTTCTGATCTGTTTAGAAATTCATGTTTGTGTTTAGCCTGAGTTAGTCTCTGACTTCACTTCTTCCTGATGGATAGCCATCAAGTCTAATACCATTTATTGAATAGTCATTCGCCACAGATATAAATTGGAAAAAAATAAAAATCTTACATATATACATATAGTAAACTAGGTACATAACAATTTTTAAAAGTCGCTCCAGACCTAAAATATCTCACAGTTCCTTTTCCGAAATTCCATATTGGTCTTTTACGTTGAGAAAAGTGTTCAGCTATCCATGAGATAAATGTTTGCATTACCTTTTTAAGCTAATACATTAATAATAAGCTGCATTAGCCATTACCATCTTGACTGTCAACATTCTATTTCAATCCATCTAACTTGAGAGAATACTGTTTGGTATTATGGGTGCCTTTTGGTTAAAAGAGGAGGCAAGACTCAGAAAAACTTGGAACGAAAGTACAGCCTGGTGAAAATGGAGAAAGCATAGTCTGATCAACCAGTGCAGAGTGACCAGGGCAAGGGCAGAGGTATGGAAGTGTCAGGATATCCCGAAGGGGACAAGAGTTGCTAGAGGAGGTGAAAAGACCAGAAGGGGCACAAAAATCTGCCTTTATTTATTTCACCAGTGTTAAAGAATTTTAAGTTATGACTCTAAATAATATCCTTTAGTTGAATTTGACTATGATAATGATGTGGGTAAGCCTGTCTCTTTGTAAAGAATTGATCATATGAAGAACTTAATAGGGTGGTACCTGTGGCTCAGGGAGTAGGGTACCGGCCCCATATACCAAGGGTGGCGGATTCAAACCTTCAAGCCCAGCCAAACTGCAACAAAAAAATAGCCGGGCGTTGTGGCAGGCACCTGTAGTCTCAGCTGCTTGGGAGGCTGAGGCAAGAGAATCGCCTAAGCCCAGGAGTTAGAGGTTGCTGTGAGCTGTGTGACGCCACAGCAATCTACCGAGCGCCATAAAGTAAGACTCTGTCTCTACAAAAACAAACAAACAAACAAACAAACAAAAAACTTTAATAATAACAACTGGTTGTCAGTAAGAAAAAGTCCTTCTACTTCTTTAGTCAACCTAGGCAATTGGCGAGGCAAAAGACAGAGAGACTATTAGAGTCTTCTTGCTAATTTATCTAGAATTACTGTTGAAGAAGCCATTCAGATTAAATACAAAATGCAAGCCAGACAAGGGAGGTAGCATTGTTTTTATTTTTATTTTTATTTTTGGGGGAGTGGTGCCATTGCTGGGTTTGAACCTGCCACCTCCAGCATATGGGGCTGGTACCCTCCCCTTTTGAGCCACAGGTGCCGCCCAGCATTGTTTTAAATTAGAGAAAGCTTTCAGTTAAGTGGTAGTAAATGAAATAGATTTTACTTTTTGTGAATTACACTTATGTGGAAAGTCATTAACTGTTTTCATTAGAAAAGGCAAGAACATAAGTCTCAGAACTTCTTTCTCCTATGCCAGTGAAGATACTATTTTTAAGGCTCCATTCTTAAGGTTTTAGTCCTGATCCAAAGTTTAAGGAAAAAACTACCCTCTAAAGGGAAGAGGTCAAAACCACTACTTCAGGGTATGGTAGGCACTGTTTAAAAACAAAGTTAAGCAGTTCCCTTTTGCTTTACTTTGTCAGTTAAAATGAAAACAAAAACAAAACAAAACCTGCTAGGGGATATTATAATTAAGCATTATTTTTGTCTTCCCTCGGCAAGGACATATTCTTTTTCAACTTGATAATGATTCCCTTGTTTGGCTCAACTGTGCGGTTTGCATCTTGAACTCATAACGTAATTGTGTCAAGAGGACTCTAATGAGGGAAAAAAATTGGTCTCAGAGTGAATAATAAATTCCCATCTATCCCGCACACTTCGTTCACAACCCTGTTTTCCCCAGAAGGATCCAAGCCGTGGTCAGAAGGCTTTAGACAGCAGCACTCCTCATGCCGTTGTTCTTCATGATTTTCCAGCAGGTAAGGATACGAACAATAAGGTGGGAGAGCCATAGGATCCAGGAGCAAGGCATCCTCCCTGGGACCTCCTCCTTCATGTTCTTTGCCTTTTCTTCTCCTAGACTGGAGAGGTTATCTTACCCAACACTCTGACCTTCAGGAAGGGTTAATTACACCCAGTCATTCCAGAAGCTTGGTTGAGTACCTTTGCCTTTGAAAATCCCTGAGAAAGGTTCGGTGCTTGTGGCTCAAGTGGCTAAGGTGCCAGCCACATACACCTAAGGTGGCGGGTTCTAATCCAGCCCAGGCCCGCCAA